GACCGTGCTAAAGTACGATCAGTCCCAGGGCGAGAATAAGCATTGTTTTAGCTACATCTTTGATTAGAGAAATTACTTAACAGTTTATCTAAATTAGCTAAAACAAAATGCTAGTTATGTTTTTCAATTTCACCAATAAGGTGTTATTTCAAGTTTTGTATCTGTTTTACGAGAGAAAAGCATTTTAATTATGTTCTAACTATTTTTCTGTCAAAATCTCCGGTATTGATGGGTACATTTCTTTATTCATAGCATTATATATATCACGTACACGTATAGGCGTACCACTATAGGTGATGTCTTCCATTGTGTTATACAACGTTAGGCCCATGATCCAATCATTACGTTGTCAGTTCACGCACCATTATTACCATTTCCTGTCCCCCAGATAATTCACCGGAAGTAATTTTACGGGTTTGAAATTCACCGAATGACGTGATGCTTATCCTATACTATTGACGCTCACCTAAGACGATAACATTACAGTAAACTCTATGCAATGAATAGGGTTTAGACCAAATATGAAAAACACGGACACTTCAGGATTTAATGGCGAAACAATTTCTACTTTAGCGGTTGCCAGACCATTGAAAAGTCTGGAATTTAAAAAAAAAATGCACAGAGACAATTTAACAACAACAAAAAATCTACTGGGAAAGTTACAGAAAAAAATATATTTATAAAATAAAATCCCACACATGTACTTGAAAGAGAAAAGCAAAAACAAAAAGTGACATCGACATCGTATAAAAATGTAGCCTAAAACTACCGTGACGTTAAAGAAAACATAATTTATAGTTCTATTTTCCCCATAGAGTATCTATTGATCAACCCCATACTTTGGAAAACTCTACGTTTACGAAATGTAAACGATCGTTGGTGGCGATGTTGCGAAATCCCGCGAATCATGCCGAATTCATATATTCACAAAGAAGGAACAGTGGTTTAGAAGGGGGTGTTTTGTAGTCTAGTTTGTTTGATATAATTGGGGGAATATATCAACGTGTATTACTACATATGCATGATATCTCCAATTAAAAGGATGTGGTCGTCGCGCCGCGTCCTCTTCGATATGTGACTCATAGCCGTATACAACGCGTGTGAAATACTTTGTTTATTTACATGAAATTCGAGCATGGGAATAAGTTGCTCATTGAATTAGAAAAAGAATTCTTGTCGAAAAAATTCCCATGTAACAGGTTTGAGTCCACACGTTTATGGAAACATCAAACATCACTATTTTGGAAAAAAGAAAGTGTAAACAAAAAGTTCTGGATGCACGTCTACGCGAAAATACCCCCCCCCCCCCGATTTCGAAACGTCAAACATTTTTTTTAGTCGCTGTTTATGACAAATGTTTCCTTATTTGATCCGATAGGTAACTTTTTGTTCACCAAAGTTGTGTTCACGTCTAATGTTTACACATATTGTAATTTTCTGTTCTCTGCTCTCTCATTTCAACTCAAAGAGATGGTCCTCACTCTGAATTGCCCGGAACAGCGATGGGGGCTTATAATGTGGACAACATGTCAATGTACCATAATCACCGGTACAGACGTAGCCTGACATAGTGATGCTCAAAATCCAACACAAGTGAGGTCTGATGCCGTTCGGCCGGCGAGGGCGCTACTCACGCCTACATGTCAGGCTAGTACAGACGATAAAGATGCATTACTCGGCTGGTTACTCAGTACGTTAGTTTGACGAATTGATAAAGTTTACAAAATATCTGAGAACATCGCTTACTACTAACACACCTGTAAGTTGTCCGCCATTGAAGCCTAAATTAACCATATATATTCAACACATTTACGGCATGTGACCCACTTACATCCCACAAACCGACTAGCTAGGTTCAGATATCATATTTAGTAAACAAATATAAACCAACTCCCCCAAATCATTGATCAAAACAAATTAACACCAACAGCCC